CTGGCTCTGGAGGTCCGGTGCGCTCTCCACCCCTTTGGCTCGGGCGCTGCCCCGCTCCAGCGCCGCTGGGCGCCGGGCTGGTCCCTAAATTCACCCGGCTCAGGTCCTGCCTCTTGGCCTTCGCAGAGCTGTGCCGCTGCAGGGAACGCCCTTCCCCGATCCCATCCCCAGTCTCCACCCTCGCTGCTTCTCCGTCGCCCAACGGTCTTGTTTTTCCTGCTGTTCTGTATTTAGTGCACCTCCCCCGTCACACGGGGCGGGTGCCGCGCCCGATCCCACCCTGCGTCCAGAGTCCAGCCCAGCGGGGCCCTCCCAGAATGTAGGGTATCCCCTGCTATCTCAGTTTCCCCCAGTTGAGTAGATTGCAGCCACGGGTCAGAACCGCGTCCTGTTGAGTCAGGCGCCTTTCCTGTTGGTGGCGCTTCGGAAGTGTCATTTCCTGCATCAGACGTCCCCTTGGGCTGACCCCTTTGGGTACACCTCTGCGCCTGCCCAGGGTTACCCAGAGGCAAGGCTGGAGCTGGTATAAATCTCGGGACGAGGCTTGTCCAACCATGCCTTGCCCCACCCCGGGTCAGTGCTCAGGTGAGGGCGCATTTATTGAGCACCAACTGTGTGCCTGACCCATTTTCAGTTTCCTGGTTGAATGTACTGTCACCCCTGACCTTACAGAGGGAGAAACGGAGGCCTGCCCCAAGAGGCGCAGTGGCTGCCCAGGGGCACCCCTAGTGGCAAAGACAGGCCTGGAACCCTGATCTAGGCACCCAGGATCAGCTCCCCCACCCTTCTGTAGCACCTGGGTGCTCTTATCTCCCGGAGCCAGTTGGTGGCCTTATGGGGGGAGGGGAGGGGCAGCCACGCCCGAGTGCCCCAGCTGGGCCCAGATTAGCTTCCCTGAGCCCCACCTGCTCTCCCCGCCCAGGAACAGTGCCTGCCAGCAGGCCTCCCTACATAGTCTGAGGGGAGGGGCCCCCCTGCTTCTTCCTCCAGATTCTTGCTGCCCTGTTTCTCTCCTTTCAGC